GAGAGAGAGAGAGAGAGAGAGAGAGAGAGAGAGAGAGAGAGAGAAAAAGGGGGGGCGGGGAGCAAAGAGAAACAGAAACCCGCGAGTAGGAGACGGAAGCGAATGTCTCATGGGGGAAAGAACTCAACGCACGCATGACGAACTATCGGAAATATCGGTTCCTAAACCGAGACTCGAAATATTTGTTTCGCTGTGGGCCCTATACCTACAATAAGTCCCTCACTCGAACGACTGGCCACCGTGCCTGTTTACGTCGGTGGGCGAGCATGCCGGTCCGCCTCATCTCGAGCACCTGTCCATAAAGCTCCCTCCCTTTTTTTCCTTTTCACTTTACTACAGTTGGGCTGCCCCCCGCAGCAGGCCTCATCTCTTTCTTTTACTCTTTTTTTCCTCTTTCCTCATCCGATCATTGAGACCCATTGTGCTCGTCGAAAGGCCGTCGGCGGAACGATCCTGTCCCTCGTTGATTGAAACAGACGCGCGTCTGATGCTTGGCCCGCGCGTCCCACCGTTCGGCCATTTCATTGAGCAGCGCTCTACACGATTAAAACAAGTGTCTTATGCTTTGAGGAAAAGGGGAAAACTTTGCGGACCTTCCATAATTTTAGGAAAACGCCTTAGATTGTGAATAACCCCCTCAAAAAGTGGAAGTCAATCCTACATTCTTTTCGATTTTTTCGAAATCTGCGGAGCTTTCCTTACTCCTATGTGTTTCGTGAAAGTTGTCCCTTTTCCCTCAAAAAATAAGGTACAGCTCAGGTGAAGCAACGGATAAAAAAGTTTCTGACACGGACGTTTTAAAACTTTTAAACGTTTTTTATGGTGGAAAAAGAAATCGAGCAGTAAGAATTTGAGGGTAAAGCGGAATTCTAAAGTGGGATTTAGACAGCAGAGAATACAGGGTGGGTGATACGCGCCGTGGTTTTTTTTCTGCTTATACTGTACCGCATTCATGCGTGCGGACGGGTTGCCTACCCTCACACCAGGCCGTAAGGTGCCATGGCGAACGACGATAGGCAAGCCCGCCCGCCCGCATGAATCCGGTACAGTAGAAGCAGAAAAAAAAACCCGTCCCGGATCACCCACCCTGTACACGGATTTCTAAGTGAAACGGATATAACGATAAGGATGCGTGATGTCTGCATCGTTGTTGTGGCTCGACCCACTTATCACCGCCGCGTCAGCTGCTCCCGCCTCCGGGTGATCGATGGCGCGGTTGGACGGCGGCGCGTCAGTCGGCTGATGCACTGGGGCCAGTGGGGCCAGAGGCTCCGTGGAGAAATGCGAGAGCACGGGATAAGACCTTCGAATTTCGATTTAGAAATAATGTTTTTTTTTTTTTCAATTTGTTTGACTTTTCAGAAATTTTGGGGTTAAAATTAGATACGATAACCAAAACTGTGATTGCTTTCTCCCCCGTTGGTTTTTTTCTGCTTACGTGTGCGACGACCTTGTCCACGCGTTTGCGACCACCACCATTTTCTGCTAGGTGTGCGGGGTGCGGTCGGCTGCGGTCACCTTCTCCTTGCACTGTCCCCGAGGGACGGGCAGAGAGACACGAGGACTGTGTCCGGCTGAGCTCGGGCCCGCCGGCCGATCCGGGTGGAACACCGCAGCCCGGGGTGCGGCGGAGCCTATCGCCGGCGGGAGGCTGTCAGGTGGGAAAGGGACGCTGTAATCCGGACGCGTGGGCCGGAGCCACGGATATTACTCGCCGGAATAACACTGTCACGCGGCTGGAACATGGGTGAGGGCTTTATAGTGCGGCACCTGGTGCTCGAGTGTGAGCATGTGTGCGTGTGTGCGATAGCGGATGTGTGGCTCACATACTGCTCTACCATCCGGTGGCCAGTGTCAGCAAAAATGCGCCAGGATAACTTTTTAGCTCTCATTGATGTGTTCTTAGATTTCAATTTTTTAAATGGACCTGTACTCGGTACAAAAAAGACAACAGCATTTCGGAAAAAAATATAGTTATAATGACTGGTGCGACAGCTCTCTGCTGCAAGTACACTTGTGAAATTCTAAGTGCAGTACCGCACGACAGCAAACAATATATAAACTTCAGGTACACGATGTGCGCGTTCGTTCTGCTTCGTAGCAGATGTGCAGTGTCTATGCGGTCCTTTCCCTCCCCCCGCAAACTCCATATAAAAAGTGATGTTTGTTGTATTAAAACAAGTTGAATACGGAAACTAAACTTTTGAAAACTTCTGCGCAAAATTTTGCAGCGCAGGACATTGCCATAACTCCCACCCCGACCCTCATCCTGCCCGAATCAGGGAACGACGCGTCAGGGGAGAAAAATATTAGTAGCGTTTACGGGAACACTTTCCGTGCAAAATGTTCTTAAGTTACGATTTCAAATTGTTAAAGTGCCGAGGAGTTTTCTGAACAGAAAAAGAATGCCCTATCATAAGCTTACTGTACCCATAAATTAAAAACACTGTTTGTAAAATTTGTAATTTTTTTTGTTAGGAAAATAATTGCACTTTTACAATGTTTTCCACAATGCGTCTGAGTTTGTCGTTGCTTTGTCTGTTGCCAGGCCGTGTCGGATCTGCTGCTCGGCGTATTCTGCATGCCGTTCACCCTGCTGGGCCAACTGCTCAAGAACTTCGTCTTCGGCGCCGCCATGTGCAAGCTCATCCCTTACTTCCAAGGTAAGCTGCTCCGCCCTGCCGCCTCGTGCTCCCGTAGCTCCGAAATATAATATTTATTTTGATTTTCTCGGAAGTGCACACACACAAAAGAAAGATTTACTGTCACAGCAGCACAGCAAGTAGATACGTTTTTTGCAAATGTATTGATGACCTAATTAGTCGCTGAAACAACTATATCGCTATTCTAACCTGCTTACCTGCTGACGCAGTCGAGTATCAGCTTAAAGAGCTTATGTTTCCTCCCATCCGGATATTATTTCTCATCAATTTGTGTGTGTCAATATCAGCGAATCTTCTTTCCCGTTGATGGCGAGTAGTATGCGGCCCGTATAATGGGGTGAAAAGTTGGTTGCTGAAATCTGTCAGCGTGATGAGGACCTGGATGGATGCAAATGAGTCTCCGGCCGAGAATCATCCATAGGGATGTGTCCAACCCGTGTAGCGCTTGCGGCCGGTCGTGAGAGGGCGTAACTCGGGGCGTAACAGCGCACGGTTTGTGCGAGAGAGTGAGCGAGAGAGATAGAGAGTCTCCCTCTCTAACACACACACACTCTCAAACACGCGCACGCACGCGGACCTTTGTCATTTAGTCTCCCCCTCAAAGTCAAACTGTTTGCTGAATGTCCACTCCACGTTGGTAGCCTTGCGCCTTTAAGTTTGTGGGCGTGAAAGGGGATTGGGAAAAGGGGAGGGGGGTGGAGGAGGAGCCGGCCAACAACGAACGCCCTGTGCCGCGTTCCTGGGATGTTATATCGTCGTCCTCGGCGTATCTCGCGGGCGCAATAGCCTGTTGTTAAACGGCTTTCCCGGTTTCTTTTCATATTCCCAACCAACAATCTAAATTATTAAAAAAAGTTCCGGGCCCTGTGTCGCTTGCGCGCCGGGGGCAGCAGGCAGTAAGTGACGCCCATTTCCGCGCCCTTTCATCTCCGGGCACGGGGGTGGCAGCCACTTCCTGGAGCAGCGGGCCACTGCGAGAGTGGAAGTTCCCCTGAACACGCCGGGCCATTATGCTGAAAACTTGCTTTTATATCGTGTTGGCCGTACTAACTTGTTGGGACGGTGCGCTCTGTTATGGTCCAGAGGGAGACGGAGGACAGTGGGGAGGAGGGGAGAGATCTTCAAGCCGCAGCAGCATCCACGCACGTGTGCCTCTCCCTCCCCGATCAGTTCAGGACCCGCCCCGTGCCGGGCTGTAGGCGCCGCGCCGCCCTGCGGGCTGGCTGGGGAAGCAGGGCTAACTCCGCCGCCAGTTCTTGGACCCAATTCGATTCCCTGTCTTTTGAAGATCGTTTTGCGCGAGCTCAACCTTGCCCGGGGTCGAGTGGCGCGGAAAGAAGAAGAAGAAAAAAATGTAGGCCCCCTTCTCGATGTTAAAGTGCTGGATCGGTCGGGGCCCCCGGCCCGGCTTTCCTGGAGCCATGAAGGTTTGGTCTTGTTTCTACAAGGAAAGGGAAAACCTGTTGCTCCAAGAAAATGAAACGAGAAAATAAGGGACGTTGATGTATGGTTAGCTCGATGGTTTGCCATGCGTAGTTAACAGTTTGTCAGGAAGTCCGCATGAAGGGGGAGCTTTCTTCAAAAGTCTCGGACACAATGCAAACAAACTCAGACAGTAGAATAAGGTATAGGGGACGTGTGAAATATCGTCGTAGTATTCGCCTCGAGAAAAGTCAGCACCTCACCCCGCCTGCATCACCGAGGGCCACTTCGTGAGGTAGTCGGAGCAGTGAGGTGGGGCTGGCGACAAGCGTGGCTCACCTCTCACCATGCCAGCCGGATGCTGTTGACAGGATCCTCCGGGAAGCTTAGGGGTAGCGAGCGGTCCCCCTCTGCACTCCCAGATTCGCTGACGCGACAGGGGCACGGATGGGCCCAAGGGCAGCAGGGACCTCGTGCCTTCAAAGCAGTGTGTCGGGTTTGTACTCTGCGATGCGCTGCCCGGTGCAAAGTATGCTGGGCTAGTGCGCCGCAACACATTTAGAAAATGCTTCTTTTGATTTCAAGGAAATTCCACTGAAAAACTGATTCTATATTACTTATAGCCTAAGAAATTTCCAATGGATTTTTCATTTTACC